ACAGAAAGAAAATATTTTCCCTTTCCATGCAACCTCTCATCCGGAAATTTCACTTCTACTTCCCATCTTTTCCTTATAATAAAAAGGGTGGGAAGGGAAAGAGGACTAAATAAGGCCACCGGGATGCACACTTATCAGACGAAACGCAGAATTGCTTCTACTTCACGCCTGCCTTCTGTGTGGTCGTGGTATTTCACCGGGCGAACCGGGCCGATTCGTGCGAAGACGTTAAAGCGGGCTCTACCACTGTTACTTGTTATTATTAAATATCCCGTACTAGTAAGACTGTAAAATTGACTCCTTATTTGAATTAGATCCTTTGTCTTACGATCATGAGACATCTGATCATAGGTCTTTATGTACTTATATAAATTTTTACTACAGTCTCGTCTATCTAAAGTCTAGATTCTGGATCTCAATTTATCGTTTAGATACTAGACGGTATGGTACCAAAGTATATGTTATGTTTAGTCTATTAAAGCCAGCTAGTATATCATCTTGTCATTGATAACTTCGCCTGACCAAATGACCTACTGGGCTCCTTTTGCGCAGCGCTTTCGTTTGTATCGTCCGCCTCCATAAACTATAGTTGTGAACGATACCAATGTTATAAAACATAATTCTAACTTAGTACAAATGTTTCTTATCCACACCTACGTATATAAATCGTACTGACGGATGATTAAAAATAAAAAATAATCTAATTACATGTGGGTTCGAATCCGCCATTAAACTTTGACCGTGAAACATGTTGTTGTTGGTATTGTTAAAAAAAAAAAAAACATATAAAAAGTTAGTGTCGTTCAGTATAATATAGAACTAGTATACCTACCTTTATCGAAGTAATATTTACGGCCATTCGCTTTATATCTGAGTTTAAAATTCCATTGCTTAGAAACGAGGCTTACGACTATGAATGTGAGCATGGAACATAAATTCTTTTATTGAATCAACGGCGTCATTTAACTTCTACTCAACAATACCTATTCCAGTCGTTCACGTAATAAATTTAACTACAACAATATGCAGAATGTTCAAAGATTACTTTAAATTTCACAATGCTTTGTACATGCTTTTGAATTACATTAATTTAGAATAACGAACTTAGTAGTCTTTCTGTGCGTCCCCTCTGCAACGTCTGACATTCGGATGTCAATGGGCAGCGAATGTTTCGCTAACTAAGCGAAATAAGTGGCCTCTAGCTTGTTTGCCAACATCTGATATGAAAAGTAGCAACTTAATGCATTTTCATGTAGTTTTACTGTTTATTTTATTACCGTGTTTATAGGAAAGTATGGGCGTTACGTCATTGTTAATATAGCATGTAATAGAATTGCCTCGAAGCTGTTATGATATTGCTCCATTAGAGTTAATGACAGTAAGTGTTCTGTTAATATATCCAGCAGCTTATACAACTTAATTTGGCCACCATAATATTATTTAATTAATTATTTACTTATGTAATTACTTATTGGAAAAGATAAATTTGATCGTAACTTGTTTAGTTTGTTTTAAAATTGATACAATCATGATTTTATTATTAGTAGAATCTTAGTTAAGGCTGGACCAGTTAGTCAGTTTCCAGTTAATTTGGACTTAGAGTGAAACTGTATTTGGTACAAAAAATAATTAAAATTAGAGATGTTTAATTTTCGGTGCTAAATGTGATTATCGCGAGGTTATTCGAATCTCTGCATATTCGAAAATTTAGTTAACAGATCCGCAATTCCACGAGACAAATGATAAAACAGTGGGTAGTAAAGCAGGTTGGACAAAAGCTTTTGTTTTGTCCTATCTGGTATCGGTCGACGGATGCTGCTATCAGTCCCAGTGGGGTTTCTGTGAACTCAGATAAACTTCGTTCGGAAAATAATATACTATAGTTATTTCATACTGTTCGGTAAAAAATCCGGGTCAGATAACAAATATAATACATGTTGGTATCATATAGAAAATAATAAAATAAATAAGGGCTTATATATTCTGTGGTAAAAGGGAATACAGATTTGCTTGTTATGGAACGCAAATTCATTTTAGATGGTAAAGTTAAAGAATAATAAAGGGTGTTTCTCTTTGAGCCTATTGATCGACGGTAAACACCCACAATAAATTAAACGGTAACAAATGAGCGCTGACCTTAAAGTTCAAAAACAACTAATGACCATAGTATAAGTTCAAAAAACAGTTTAACAGTGGTAGAGCCCGCTTTAACATCTTCGCACGAATCGGCCCGGCTCGCCCGGTGAAATACCACGACCACACAGAAGACAGGCGTGAAGTGGAAGCTATTCCGCGTTTCGTCTGATGAGTGTGCGTCCCGGAGGCCTAATTTAGTCCTCTTTCCCATCCCACCCTTTTTCTTAGAAGGAAAGGATGGGAAGTGGAAGCGGACTTTCCGGATGAGAGGATGCATGGGAAGGGAAATTATTTTCTTTCTGTGCATCCTCTCCTCCGTCGATTAAAGGTAGGCAACGCATATGCGGTTGCGTGTGTCTATGGGCAACGGTCACTTCGCTATTTCAGCGATTTCGGATGGCCGATTGCTCGTTTGCCACCTTTGATATAAAAAAAAAAAAAAAAAAAAATAACTCCGCACTATCGACAACAAATTGGTTAGCGATTAAGAATGCATCTGTTTTTGTTCCGTATTCAATTTGCAATCACAAAATCATTTATCGATTTGTTTTTGAAACGTGACCGTTCTTCGTGAATACATTTTTCAATTATTTTCAGTGCTAAGTTTTTTAACAAATAAAAAGAACGTGCAAAATTCCAGCGTCAGCCAACGGTTACAAGTGTGCTAATAAGCTATCTATTATCGATACAAATATAGTGTGGTATTTTAATTCATAAGTATGTATCATGGAGGAAATACATGCTACGGCTTCCTTTATTTAAATTATTTATTTTTCCTGTAAACAAAAATATACACATACTGTAAAGTACGCTGTTTGTCAAAGTACCAGATGGCCGGTACTGACTGGCACAACTGACGAATCTCACTTATCGGCATTAATGGATGGCGTATTACACTTTTTTTCAATTCCCGATGCGTAGTACCCTCCCCCCGCATCTCGTTACGTCCCCGCTACACCTAAAATTTTGTTCTACGCAGCGATTTGTGCTTCTTGCTTATACTATTCGAAAACTACAAGTCTTATTATGTAAGAGATCTTGGTAGAGGATTTAAAGATCTAACAACTATTTAAGAGAAGTATCGTGAAAAAAGATTGTATAGAAATGAAAGGAATATACTTTTTGGCTAGTAAATCTACTTTATTCTAGATTTTAAACTTCGTTGTGAGCGATTAGTGGACGTCGCGTCTACAAGGGAAGCGTCTCATTCTACATAATTTTATCAACCGGACGAGTATTCTGATACTTTAACAGGGACATCCTGTGCAGCCAACACAAACCGCTCTCATTTATAGTCTGCTTCTGAATAAAGAATTTATCAATGTTATCACGTAATTATAAATTATTTATTTTTGAAATTGTATGCTTAATTAAATAGTTTAGTTAATTAGTTATAGGAAAAAATGATATTTACTCTCATCAATATTATGAATGCGAATATTTGCTATTTTATAACGGCTGAATGAAACTAGTTGAAATTTTTTTAGCAAAGGACGAATAGTCTGAAATACTGCATAGGCTTCTTAGTTTTTTTTAATCCTACGCAGACGCATAGATATGGTTTTGGATGAATTTCTTCATAAATTACTTAACATAATTGCATTAAATTTTAATTTAAAGTTCATGTTGGTGTTCAATTTAATTCCCTTATTGCCTTGCTACCTTTCTAGGAAAAAGTATTCATTAAACTACTGCTGGGGAAATTACATTGTTAATATAATTAAATGAATACGGGGAACGCTGCCAGTATCTTCGGGACCTTGCCTAAAGGGACTCCTTCTAATAACATATTTTAGTGAATTATTCGTTTTTTTTTATATTTTATTTTATATTAAATTAAATGTAAATATTAATTGTTTTGATAATCTCTAATTATAGTAACTGAACTGAACCGAACATAATTTTATGACGAAATGTGAAGAATGTGGATATTGTTTCGGTTGGCTTGTACCAATGAATTAGAATTTTTGGATCATCATTTTTTCGAGTATCAGATTCGTTATTAATATAAAATTAATAATACGGCTTCTTATTTTCCTTATCATCGTCCAACATATATTCATTGGTATCCTAAAGACCTTTGCGGCCTTATTCATTTAGCTCCTAATCTTGGTCAGAATGGCGAACGCAAGTACTAAAGAAACTCACTTAATTCGGTAATAAATACATATATAGTGTTAGTTTACCTTAAACGATAGACAGACAGATACGCCACTGTAGGCTTTTCTTGATAGATATTAAGTTGCTGATAAGTGTATCGACGGGATCCTAATCAATTAATTGGTGACCGTCTCTAGAGCTCGATTCTATCAATCGCTATCAGCGCGTAGGGGTCGCGTTGTCCTCACGGTAGGATTAATTTTCCGAATGTTGACCGCGCCCTGTCACGCCCTAACCGGCCTAATTAATAGAGCCTTCGATAGACTTGCCACGGCTCATGTTACAACTACCATTAACATGATAACCTGATGTTGTCGAAGCCTTCGTCATTTTCAGCAAACTCATACTTTCTCCTTTCATAATTATTGTTATTTGATATCCAAGTCTTGACAAGGACGCAAACATTTACCGGCAACATGACAAAATGCCTCGTGTAAGTCGCTTACGTTGATAAATTGACAATAGGTCATTTTCCTTATTAATAAAATGTTGATCATGGTTGACTTCAAGTAGACACTGAGGTGATACGCGTGAGGATATGTATTTGTCAGCAATTTCATCTTAATTTAATAACTTATCGATTAAAATGCCTTGATCACTACAACGAGTATATTTTTCAGAGTGTAGGGTTATAAATTAACTTTGAAATTTTACAATTAATGCAACGAATAAATAATGAAGCACTGGACGACTCTCATTTTCAGATGCTTACGAAACGGAAGGTCCAATCATCGAACCATCTCTAAAAGAAATAGTTTTAGAAAAAGGTCAAAATTTTACAATAAAATGCAAAGGATTCTCCGAATTGGATTTTAAACAACAAGATATACCGGAAGAAGTTGTTGGATCGCTTTTTAACAAAAGTGTAACAACGGTAACGAATTCAGACGATAAATATAAATACCAAATTGAACTGAACTTGTACGACGTCGATCAATTTGCAATCGGGTACTACGCTTGTTTCGATAACACTCTTGAGGCAGACGATTTATTAAACAATTTAATGGAGGAACCAAAAGATACTGAACACGTTACATATATTTATGTCTACGTTAACGGTGAGATTGAACCGTTCCATAACATTCTAGAACAAAGTAATTTGCATGATTGGTTTATGTGTTGTAATGAATTCTATTTATTTTAGGCACAAATAGCGTGTTCGCACCCATGAGGGAGGTCGTAAAAACGGGAAACGGGTCAAAGGTCGTAATAGAATGTAGACCTACGACACCAGATATAAAAATGACACTTATGGGGGTATGTATGCAAGATTTAGACACATTGATGTGATTCAAGGCGACAATTAATTTTTCTATCTATAAGTAGTGCAAGTCGATAAAAATAAAACCTATAAAAGAAATTGCTTCGTAAGTAACCATGTGAAATTCGAGCATTTAGCCAGGCCTATAGACTTCTAGAAAATGCATGATTTTTTCATCAATTTTCTTACAGTATTTTACAAAGTGAGGCGGAATTAGTTTATTAAAATCTCTTGCGTTTAGTAAATAATCGAATGAAGCATCAAGGTTAATTTTGTCTTGTTAATGGCTTGCATTTAAAAATCTGACTAATGCTTATTGCAAATAAATAATTTTATACTAAAGCATGAACACCAATGTTTTAATGCTTCGATTGGTTCTTAACAACGTTCTTAATATTCAGGACTTTCCAGACTATGAGCATTACGATCCCAAAATTGGTTTCACGGTCGATAGCGATTATATGTTAGATCTCCCGATAGTTCTTGTGACCTGTGACGCTAAGAGAGGAGATCTCGAAGACTCAAAAGACATTGTTGTACATAAACGTAGGTGATTAGAAGATGTGTGACTTTTAATAATAGTGTACCCACCACATGCACGAAACATCGGCCTTTTAAAACTCCTTATTGGATCACTAAATCATGGCCATACATTTATATGGTTCTGTCGTGAATGTGGTTTGCTACATCTACTTCTTTTTCAATATATAAAATATAATATATTATTTCTAAATTGTATTTGTATTATTAACGATATTTAAAAAAAAGTTTTATATAATTGAAAAAGGATGGATGTAAATTGGTACATATCCATTTACTCCTACTAACCACTCATTATTTATCTGGTAATACGGCTGCAGAGTAACAAGACACCAGAATTTATAAAGTATTCTCCAAAGATTGGATATGTAGTCAAAGCGAATAGGGTCGCTTCTTACCAATGCGAGGGACTCCGCGGAACGAAATCGTATAAGAAAACTACACGTATGTGTAAGTAGATAGTGCTACTATCTTGATGTCAAGTAACGAGGTAGCGTGGTGTGATGGTTTCATTTACTTTTGGAATTATTTAATCGAGTAAATGTTTTGTTGACCGCTTTTAGCTTGTGACTTATTTTCCTTCTTTCTTCTTCTTTGGTGTGTTGATCTTTGTGTGCACTTATATATTTGTTTACTAACTAACTAACAATCATAATAATGTGTATCGAATGTTGGGTTACGCGTATAAAGATATAAATCTACATATATATTTTAAAACAAAACTAAAATATTTTAAGTTAATTTGTCCAAAAATATTAAATTTAATGATTTAATTCCACACAAATTCTACAAAGAATGTATTTTCATTGGACAAATTTTCTTTTAGTTTTATTCAACATATATATGTTTAGTTTTGGTGTACTGTTGAAATGGGCGATTAATTTTTATTAGAAGATTACTTTTCATTGATGATTCCATATTGTTTTAGTATTAATAGTATTGCACGTGACATTAATATTATTTTTATTACATTTTCAATTATAAACGTGCAATATTTGTTTGCTTTATTTGTTTTTTTTTTATACATTGACATCATATGACAGTTCTAATGTTTAATTTAATGTTTTAATTTTCATTTTAATAGATTAAAAAAATATATCTTTTGTCTTATTATAATTTTAAAAGAAATTATTTTTTATAGTGACAAATATTCCACCGCCCCAACCACGAATAATTGGTGGTTTACCATATTTTCTGAGCGGAGAAACATTTTCTCTAAATTGTACTGTCGAGTATCAAAGTAACTCTGCTTTGGCGTTAACTTGGAGAACACCAAATGTCGCATCGAAGGTACGAATCAATTATCTCTTTAAATTCATACAATAGTATTCAAGACATTAAATAAATAATACAAATATTATTCATTTGTTTTAGATCCAACATAAAACTAATGAAAATGAAACTACAGGTGGAATATTGTATAGCAACATAACGATACTAAATGCTAATGTTGAAGACGCGGGAAATTACACCTGTATATCCAAAAATAGCTATGGACAGAACACTGCTTCGTTTAAAAAGTTATATTTAGGTAAAACGTCTGGGTACACATTTTGATAGACTGATTTCGTAAGAACGCGCGTTCTATTTTGTTTGTGAATAACATGTGCTATAAGACAGCATTATTAACTTGCTTTTAAATTAATAACATGACCCCTTTATTCATTGTTAAATGACCATCCTTGATAGTAAAAATTAAAAAAATAGTTCATCATCAGCTCAATATACGTCCCCACCGGTGGGCTCATAGCCTACCCTATATTAGGGGTGACTAGGCCATAGTCAACCACGCTGGCCAAGTGCCGGTTGGTTGACGTCACACATATCTTTGAATTTCTTCTCAGATATATGTAGGTTGCATCACGATGTTTTCCTTCACCATAAGAACGTCGGATAAATTTACATATGTAAATCGAAAATAACATTGGTACATGGCGGGATTCGAAACCAGGACCTGCAGATTGCAAGTCAAGTGCTTGACTACTGATCCACCGACGCTCAAATAATTAGTATACACTACAAAACATTAGTTATTATTGACTTGACTAGTCTAGTATACTTGTATTTAAGAGGACAAGGACTTATATTAAATATTTGTGTGAAAAATTAGATTTAATGAAATTTAGAAGAAACAATAAAAAATCTTTCCCGTGGCAAAGCTGGGTTTATTTAAGAGATTTTTGTATTATCGTTAAAAATGTTCTATTTTATTTATTTATTAAGACAAGCCAACAGCATACATATAAAATAGCAGAATAACATTTCACACAAACAATTACGTTAGTCTCATTTTTATTCATACAATTTTATATACATAATATTTATAATTAGGATAGATTATTTTTATAATCTTTTTAAATCAAGCCTAAAATAATTCTAGTTTTAATATATGAACGATACATTTGAACTACGAGGTATAAAATTTTATTTCTTAAATTTTAGAAACTGGTTTTATTAAATTAGAAATTGGTGGTAGAAAGATTAATCCAACTGAAACGAATCAAAGGCTTATCCAGTTCATGTATTACTTACAAGATTATCCAACGGCTCGAATTACTTGGTAAGTATATATTAATATTTTAATTGCTATTAAAAATAATTTAATTCTGCACAAATCAATCATGTAACACCTTACAACTATCAATTTAACCCTAACTATTGTTAAGAAGAAAATCCGACACTGTGCCGGTGTACTGGCCCAACACTAGCCTTTCTAAAATGTTTATATCCCCTCACTAATCATTTTGACACATGACTTTGTAACGAAAGCACGCCATTCGCGCTAAAGGATTCTAACTAATAATGTCTACAACTATGTATCAATCCTCAATCACTGATCTTTTTGTGGATATTATTGTATTATCAAGACTTAATGCCAACAGTTATGTTATGCTTCATTTAAAAATAACATGTTATATACTTCTTATTATACCTTAAGTACACAACATCTTTGCAAAATTGTCTATGTGACATATCTTATATGTAAAATTCTCGTGTCACAATTTTCGTTCCCATACTCCTCCGAAACGGCTTGACCGATTCTCATGAAACTTTGTGAGCATATTGAGTAGGTCTGACAATCGGCCAACATCTATTTTTAATCCCGCGCGGACGGAGTCCCGGGCGACAGCTAGTTCTGTAATAATTAAATCAAAATATTGATAATGATGACTACGTCTGATGGTATTGTAAAGTCTCCTATGCTTTTCAACCAAACCTCTTCACAGTAGTCTCTATTTTAACACGTTAGCTGCCATGTCGGACTTTATGTCCATACTTCCGTTCAACACTTCGCTGTGGCTTGTCGGACGCTTTTTAATCGAATTGTTGTATATAGCGCGACCCACAAGGTCCCATAAAGCTTATTAACAGCTGGTCAATTTTTTTCGTTTTTCGAAAAATCATTCTGGCAGCTAACGTGTTTATTAATAAAAATGATAGTGGAACATAATAAGGCAAGTAAAATAGATGCTCATTGTTTAATGGTATTATTTTGCAGCTACTGTGACGGCAAAGAAATACATTCGAATAAAGTTAAATATGACATAAAACGACCTACAACGGGTAAACTTACACTGACTATACGAAATTTAACTGTAACGGACACAGCAAACTATACATGTGTGGCCACCAATGACTATGATTCGAAGAATGTTACACGTGATTTAAGAGTCAAAGGTAAATGAAAATATTTATGAGTTATTTACATGCTTAATTGTACACCATCAATCGTTGTTATAACGCTAGTGACGTGACGCTAGTTTTAGAGAAATTAATTCATTTTAAAAATTGCATTTATTTTTTTGTATTGGAAACCCAATTGAAAGTTATGATATAATTTATTTTGAATAGAGCTCCATAAACATAGCGACTTACGGTACGTTCAAATGTACAAAAATCGAACACAGGACAATACGACCTTTGTGGTCCATATTTTTACAGCAAATTGTTTTTTAATACATTATTAATTTATTTTAATTTCTTCAGCTGCCCCAGTAGTAGACTTTGGGATACCCGATGATATCAAGTCCGTAGAGGGTACAATTGCCAACTTAAAATGCAAGGCAACTGGTTATCCCACGCCTAGCGTTGAGTGGATATTTACTAGTGAATCAGGCGATCAGCAAATGTTATTGGTACGTTACATACTTATTATCGTACTTCGTATTAATAAAAGTGAATATTTAGATAGATGGATGGATGGATGGATGTTTATTTGAAGCTAACTCCAGAACGGCTGTAAGGATCTTACTGAAATTCGGCGTATATGTAGAAAATAGTCTGGAAAAACACAGAGGCTACTAACTAAGTTTTTTAATTCCGCGCGTACGGAGTCGCTGGCGACAGCTAGTTTTATTTTATTTCCTTGCAATCTTCTAAAATTCTTTTACACTCTAGTATAGGAATTAAGATGTGTAACTTTAAGAAAACAGATAATTAATTTGTACGTGTATCTTACAATTATAGATCCATGGGCTTATTTTGTAAGACTACCAAACTGAATATACATATATTTTGTTAATAAAAACATTCATATTATATGAGATTGTTGTACTTCCTCAGTAGATCTAACTTACCAATTTATCATTATGATGATATGCAGATTCTTTTATTTTTAATTTACAATATAAATTTTTTGGATAAGATTCACGTCTCATGCAGATGTAATGTCTTTAATAATATATAAACATATTTTTTCAGCCAAGCAATACTTTATCAACGTTGATTACAACAACTTCGTATGTTCAAATACCTGTACGAGTATCTGGAAACATCTCATGCAAGGCAACGAATAGTTTAAATTCATCGACAAAATCGAGAAAATTTATAGTACAAGAGCTTGTCGGTGGTTTCGGTATCAAAGACATCGATCGAACTTGGTTCTATGAAAGTCAGAATGTTGTTTTGACTTGTGTCGCATCTGTATATGATTTCGCTAATTTAACATGGATTGGAATTGACGATATGGAAATTTTAGATTCCGGTAAGTTTGATGTATTGAAATAGAATAATTTAAACCTTATAAGGATCAAACATATATTATTAATAGTTTTTGTACTGAGACATTAATTCTTAAGTAGGTATTTACAAACAGGAAATTACCCACTTTAAGTAAACAAGATTTCTATAAGTGTAACAACAAGATAGATTAAAAGTCAAATTAAAAAAAAACATACTTGCCTTCGACCGACCGACGTAGTCAGTTCGCAACAGAACTTTAGTAGAACTTCAAGGTCATTGGGAAAATAAATATTCATAAATCATAGTGTTAACAGAAAACTTTTTTCCAGTGGAATTTACAAACAATTCGTTTTCTTACGTTGCAAAGTTAAAATTAAATAATATATCGCCGCAAAATGCTGGCAACTATACATGTAACGCGGTAAGATATGATAATACTGAGGAGAGTCAATCGATATTTATAACAGTTGCAGGTATGACATATTTTTTATTTATTTCTATAATCGAATTGCATGTGATAAAAATAGTTGTAAGTGAAGTGTCACGTAGGAGTAGAGTTAAAAGGATACGTTATTGCGTCAAAGCTATCAAATGGGAGGTGATCTTACCTTTAATTTTAATGATAAAATTATATTTTTAGCAAAACAACCGCCAATTATTACGGAACCTTTAAAGGAGAAGAATGAAGAGGTGTACCCATATCAACCGTTGCAACTGACTTGCCAGGCCGAAGCTGTGCCACCGCCACGCATCGAATGGTATAAGGTCAGAACAAAACCGCACTTAATAGAATTATCTCCTCAAAGATTCTTGTATCTTTGTATATAGAACGACATACTTAATGGCATTTTCTTCCAGGATGGAAACCTCTTATTGAACGAAACGAATACTGATATTATCACAGAAATGTTGGACCACAGTAGAATAAATTCCAGTGTTGTAATCAAACAAATGCTCGAGGAGAACAAGGGGAGATACGAGTGCGTTGCTGTCAACGAAGACGAAATTACGAGAGAATATTTTAATATTGCTATTAAAGGTTTTAAGCATTATTAATTTTACCCGTGGGTTTACATTGCTGAATTTCCAATATATATAAGTATTGATAGCTCAGATTTTTCATCGATAAATTAATAATGATTTGACAGTGGAAACCCACGGTAATGTTGATGTGTTAAATTCCGTATGATCAACGTTTTTTGATGTTCTAGAAAAATCTACCAACAAAGCGGCTTACTTGAGCGTTATTGGAGGAATTGTTTTCGTATTGTTACTCTTGATCGTTTATCTCGTTTGGAAGATACGCAAGGAGAAACAATTCAGGAAGGAACTGGCGGCGGCTGGACTCTTGTACTTCGAAGAAGGAGTTACAAAGTCCTTAAACCCTGATATAGGCATCGATGAGCAAGCTGAGCTTCTACCATACGACAACAGATTTGAATTCCCAGCTGAGAAACTTCTTTTAGGTATACGAAATTGTTTGAAATTCCCCTAAATAACATTTTTCGAAAAATGACAGAATTTACTTTACCTTTTCTGAAATGAGGGCTTTATTTTAGTTTAAGAAGTGATATTATTTCATCACTTAGCTGTTAAAAAAGACCTTGTAATATAATGGATACGTTTCTATCCACATTTACATTAAAACGTATTTTTAAAAAGTAAATCGTTAAGATTGTATACCATTAACTAACCTTGTCCTCTTATCACATTCTTATTTTAAATGGTGTAAACTCTTTAAGTAAAGGTTAACTTTATTAGGTAAGCAGCTAGGTGCAGGCGCTTTTGGTGTCGTGTACAAGGCAGAAGCTCGTGGAATAATAAATGCAGAAGAGACTACAGAAGTAGCTGTGAAAATGGTGAAGAAGACCGCAGACAATATGTACATTAAGGCTCTAGCAACGGAGCTCAAGATAATGGTACATCTAGGAAAACATGTTAATATTGTTAACCTTCTCGGAGCGTGTACCAAGAATGTAGGAAAACGTGAGTATTTTTTTCTATTTGGTTAAATTTTTGCATCATCCTGTGCACATCCTGCTAGGTTTTTGTTTCTGAAACATTTTTATTTTTTTTTGATTAGCATAAGTATTAAATTTTAAACTTGCTCCGCAAAGATGACAAACTCGATGCATTCAACAAATATTTTTGACTTCAATCCCAAAAAGACACAAGTATGCGCCATTACCGCTAAAAAACAACCCTTTGTCGTGGATCTTCGTTTCGAGGGCACTCCCCTGGTTGCCTCAGCCAGTATCAGTATTCTCGGCGTTGACATATCGAATGACGTTCAGTTTCGCGGTCATTTGGAAGACAAGGCCAAGCTGGCCTCCAAAAAACTGGGTGTGCTCAGCAGAGCGAAGCAGTATTTCCAACCGGGCCACCGCCTCCAGCTGTATAAGGCGCAAGTTCGGCCCCACATGGAATACTGCTCGCATCTCTGGGCGGGAGCACCCCAGTACCAGCTTCTTCCATTTGACCGCATACAACGGAGAGCGATTCGAATCGTCAACGACCGAGCTCTTACTGATCGGCTCGACACTCTGGCGCTGCGTAGGGACGTTAGTTCCCTCTGCATTTTCTACCGCATATACCACGGGGAGTGCTCTGAAGAATTGTTTGGAACGATTCCTGCCGCCGAGTTCCGTCATCGGACGACACGACAGACCGCCAGGTTCCATCCACACCACCTGGATGGCTGGCATTCCACAACGGTGCGATTCTCGCGCAACTTCTTGCCTCGCACAGCCGCGTTGTGGAACGGTCTGTCCTCGGCGGTATTTCCAAACCAATACGACTTAGGGTCCTTCAAGAAGCGAGCCTATCACCACCTCAAAGGCCGGCAACGCATCTGCGGTTCCTCTGGTATTGTTGATGTCCATGGGCGTCGTTGAACACTTCGGTGTTCCCGCTGCTCGTTTGCCCCTTCTGTTATAAAAAAAAAAAAAAAAAATTATTTATCAGTTTGCTATATTAATTAATTTATTATATATTTTCATTATTACATTCACTTTATGTATTTTCCTCGAAACGATGCCGTATACTTTTAAATTAGTAGTCATAAGTCTGAGTGCTTTCTTTAATTTGCATGTGTCATGGACATTGTTTACCATGGATTATGGCACATAATAATACATGGTGTTCATAAATAAATTAATATTAGATTAATTATTAAAAAAAGGTATGCTATTTTGAGCAGTTTCTGGCTCAGTAAACATATAAAGAACTGTTTTAACATTGAAACTATGTTTATCAGTGTGCAAACAGTGTTTACTTTGCGTATAAAGCTATTGAGTTAATGAAAAGGTCACCTTCACAGTCGTTTGAGATTTGTGCTAGAAACTGATTTGCGGAAATACAAGTAATATTTAGAGAGACACGAAGTTAATCAGAATAGAATAAAAAAATATTTTTTAATTAGTTACGACGCAATAAGTTATGTATTTTGTCTATTAAGTTATTCTTATTACGACTATGACTTTAAGATGTTAAAAAAAATTGACCTAAAATCTCACTTCCTACAAATATTATAAATGCAAATTTTTGTATGTATAATAGATAGATGGCTGCATGGGTATTGATGAAATTTGGTTTAGATGTAGAACATAATATGGAAGAACACATAGGCTAATTTTTATTAGTTCTGCGGGGACGCAGTCGCGGGAGACAGCTAGACATATAATTTGAGTCTTTGTTCCTGAAAATCTCCAATCAAAACTCTGGTTAAAAAGATAGGCTGTTGTGTACTATAGACAACGATAAATTAAGTATATACCTTTATTACCCGACAGGTTAAAAAGGAGGTCAAAGTATTTTCCCCTTGTGTGTAGGTGTGTCTTCGTTTGACCTGTATCCTAAATAATTAGACTAGCAACGAATATGATTACGTTAATAATAAAATAAATTTAAACGATTTAAATGGATAACAGGTTTTAGACAATGTAACATTCGATTATCGCTATCGCTTATAAAATCGACAAAATCTGTCAAAATGTATAGGAAAAATACAGAACATGCACGTGATTTATCGAAAGTTATTGTCACTTCAATACATTAATGTATTTTCGATTGTCAAGGGGCTGGTGGAATTTGATTCGTTACTCAGTTGTTTAAACTATCTTTTGCTTATCAATTAAATATTATCCAAAGACCATCCTAACCCACAGAACATATAAAACTAATTTGGGCCACCATTATCAAATTCCGAGGTTGTGCAGATTACTGCAGCATTTTATAAATAACGATAGCTTCATCGATATATTCCATGACAAATTACCCATATTTAAATTAAAAATAGTTGGTGTATTGTATCCTAGTGAAGTCGCAGACGTTTAACATTCTGTTTCTTGTTTTGCTAAAGTATAGATATTTTTGTATACACGCTTTTAATTGTGGTTTAATTTACAATTCGTCTAAATACCTTCTTATTAAATTCTGATTTTTTTTTAGTTTAATATTATTTGTAATTTGCTTTATTTACATATTTTGTTCTATTTTTTATTGTTTGTGCACCAATACTTTATATATGTTGTGTTTAACTGTAAGTGAAATTACATGTTGCCTGAAATCTTTTGTTATAGTAAACTAAAATAGTAAACTGTATATAAGAACACATGTACTTTTGTTGATTAACCAATGAAATAAATAAATATTATTTTATAAATTTGTAGGAGAGTTAATAGTGATAGTTGAATACTGCAAGTTTGGCAACATTCACAACTACCTACAGAAACATCGTGAGGTCTTCATTGACCAGCTAACTGACAACAAGGATAAGAATCTCGGTAAAGTCAACAAAGGTTTCTCTTGCAGCAGCGGAAGTAGTGCGTAAGTATACTGTTATGTTTTTTTTTTATTTTTTGTACCAACCTAATGGTTAAGGATACGGATTTCCGATCACGAGGTCGGGGTTTCAAATCCAGCCCTTCTACAATTGTAAATCCTAGCACAAGCATACATATAAGTTGGAATTGTACAAGAAATATTAGTAAATTAACAAAAATCTGCTAATATTAAAAAAATAAATAAAAAATAACCTAAAAATAATTTTCAGGTTCCATTCAGACTACTTCAGCTCCAATCATACGCAAGAAACCGATAATACATTCCTAAATACTGGAAATACCAACAGATCTGGGAGAAAAGGTACGCCCTTTTAAAAGCTTTGGAAAAATACCAATGCAATTATTTGATTTGCGGTATTTTCTAACTAGAGCCATCTTTATTTTTCAATAACCAAGAAGTAATCTATCTACACATCTTAAAATAAGAAATTGAATTTAGGCAAATTATAATAACATGAAAGTAAACTTATGTTTACATTTGTATGATATTCCGTCTGAAATATTTGGTTATCCAATTTACCCAAAAGTATAAAGTAACGTATTATTAAACTTCTAATTATAAAGTTGATTGTTTGGTATACGTTTTGCAGTATCAGAGACGGGCTACGTGCAGCCGGAGTGGCGGTCTAACTATGAGAGTGACTACAGCGACGGTCGCGCACCTCGCCCGCTCTTCTCCCGCGACTTGCTCGCCTGGGCATTCCAGATCGCGCGAGGTATGGAATACCTCGCTAGTAGAAAGGTAAGGGTCCAATACATTCACTGAACAATCGTTTTCTATGCTTATGGAATCACATAAAATGGTAACACGATTGTAATCTAGGTCACCGTCATAATGCGACACTGTTGATATGAAAATTTATATATCAGTGCCTCACGTGACTCATTAGAAAAGAACCACATGCCAAAAACTCTCACTAATGGCGGAAATGTCAGCCACAAACTCAAATAATAATCAGTTTCCCTCATTTTCTCCAAACATAGAATCGTATGTATCGCGTAAAAAATGGTCACTTGACACAACGAAAAAGGCTAAGCAAGTATTTGTAATATAATTGAATATTCGAACAAATTTCAGGTACTACACGGCGATCTGGCAGCACGCAACGTGTTATTGGCTGAGGATAACATCGTCAAGATATGCGACTTCGGTCTCGCGCGTAGCATTTACAAAAATGACGAATACCAAAAGAAAGAAAACGTAAGCCTTACTACATATACTTAAGAAATGAAAACAACT